TCATGCTCCATGCTCTGTGTTATGTATTCAGTGAGGAGTTTACTTGAGTTTCTCTCTCCCCCTCCCTCTGCCCATCCCCACTGCATACACAAACACACACTCTCTCTCTAAAATAATCTTTTTTTAAGAAATTTATTTATCTATCTATTTATTTATTTATTTGACAGAAAGAGAGAGCATAAGAAGGCAGAGTAGCAGGTATATGGAGAGGGAGAAGCAGGCTTCGGGCTGAGTGAAGAGCCAGATGTGGGGCTGGATCCCAGGACCCTGGGAACATGATCTGAGCCAAAGGCAGTTGCTTAATAAATCTTAAAAAAAAAAAAAAAAAAGAATGGATTGGCTGGGTGATGGTATGACCAATTAGAGATTTCAATAACTAATTAGGGTTTAGACAAGAAAAATGGCAATGGCAGTAAGTTGCAAGGGACACAAAATCCAGCAAGAACTGTATGTGACTGACTCCATAATACTTTGGTGATTTGGGGGCGCCTGGGTGACTCAGTGAGTTAAAGCCTCTGCCTTCGGCTCAGGTCATGATCCCAGGGTCCTGGGATCAAGCCTCACATCTGGGCTCTCTGCTCAGCAGGGAGCCTGCTCCTCACCACCTCCCCCCACAAACCCCGCCACCACCTGCCTCTCTGCCTACTTGTGATGTCTGTCTGTCAAATAAATAAATAAAATCTTTAAAAAAAAAAAGACTTTGGTGATTTGGAGTTTAGGGACTTATGTTTCTGCTGGGTATGATAACACATCTCAAAAAGAGAAAAAAATCAGTTGACCCTTGAACAGAACAAGGGTTGGGGGCACTACCCCCTACACTATCAAAAATACACGTATAAATTTTGACTCTTCCCAAACTTAACTACAGATAGCCTTACTGATGACATAAACAGCCAACAAACACATAGTTTGTGTGTTATGTGTTTTATGTACTATATTCTTACAATATAGGAAACTAAGGAAAAGAAAATGTTATTAAGAAAATCATAAGGAGGGCGCCTGGGTGGCTCAGTGGGTTAAGCCTCTGCCTTCGGCTCAGGTCATGATCTCAGTGTCTTGGGATCCGAGTTCCGCATCGGGCTCTCTGCTAGGCAGGGAGCCTGCTTCCTCCTCTCTCTCTCTCTCTCTGCCTGCCTCTCTGCCTACTTGTGATCTCTCTCTGTCAAATGAATAAATAAATTCTTTAAAAAAAAAAAAGAAAATCATAAGGAAAAGGGGCTTCCTGGGTGGCTTAGTAGCTTGAGCATCTGCTTCTTGATTCAGCCCAGGTCTTGATCTCAGGATCGTAAGTTCAAGCCCCACATTGGGTTCCAGGATGGATATGGAGCCTTTACTTTAAAAAGACCGAAAGAAAAAAGGAAAGAAGAAAGGAAGGAAGGAAGGAAGGAAGGAATCGTCTTTCAGTGCAATTTTCATTTTCTCATTCAGAACACTGAAGAACTCAATAGCTATCCCTTCCACCTGCTAGTCACACCAAACCATACTTTCCAAACCGTTTCTCAGAAACTTAGGGCTCTGTGGGGTGCCTTATGGATTTTTATTTCCTGATCAGATCTTCCTCACTTTTTTTTTTTTTTTAGATATGACGATCTAATTGGCTTTATTAAGAGAGTAGCTTCACATTTATCTACTATATATGGGTGCTTCATAAACGTTTACTCTTGTAGACTTGTTCCTCTGATTTAAAAAAAGATTTTGAAAAGCACATATTTAAGAAGCACATACATTTATAAATATTTAGCTTAGAATATAGTAAGTAAAATATATTTGAAATAGGTAATACATTTTTACTTAAGAACTATTGTCTGTTATTGGAATGTTAGAACATAAGTGTTCATAAACAATTTTTTGCACGTAATTAAGAGCTTTCTTTGAGCCAGGCACTATCCTAAGCATCAAGAGAAAAGAAGATGAGTGTGAGAACCTCAGAGGGTCACAATCTGGTAGGACAGAGTCACATCAGTCTGCGGTCAGTGTCTACACCATATCCTTCAGGATCTGCATGAAGAGGGGCTTCACTCAAAAGGGAATCAACATGGGATGAGGAGGAAGGTGGAAGCTAATGCAGTCTGTATAGCTAGCACCGATTGAGCCTCTATTCTGAGCCAGACACACAGCAAGGCCATGGCTCTCTGGAGCCGGCTGTCTAATTGGGAAGACGAAATTAAACAAGTAAAATCTCATCTATATACAGAATAACACATTCAAAAGTACTCTATGAAAGGAAAGAGTGAGAAAATAACAGGAGCAAAATTTTAAGGGTGATTCCAAGATATTGGCATTGAAGCGTAAAGAACCTGATAGAGGGGCTAATGATCCCTACAACAGGAATAATATTACAATATGAAAATGTATCAAATTAAATGTTGTACACTTTAAATTTACACAGTGTTATGTGTCAAAAACACTTCAATGAAAAAAAAAAAGAGTTAAAGAATGAGAAGCCAGATGAATGAAGAGAGAGGAAAAAGTGTTTAAAAAAAAAAAAAAAAAAGCCATCCCCAAATCTCTTCAAACCAATTTACAATAAATACGGAGGTTAGAAAAATAAGCTAAATGGAGCAACAAATGAAATTAACGAAATCCAGGCAGGAGATGACGGGAAATTCACACAATTCTTTAAACAATAGCAAGAACAGTAACAAAAAAAATTCTAAGAAAAATAAAAGATGGAAGGAGAATTTACAGACTGGTATTTCTTTCAAAATAACCCAGGGAAGATGGGACTACATGGTAGTTTTTTTGTTTTGGTTTTTTTTTTTTAAGATTTTATTTTTATTTATTTGGCAGAGATCACAAGTAGGCAGAGAGGCAGGCAGAGAGAGAGGAGGAAGCAGGCTCCCCGCTGAGCAGAGAGCCCAATGTGGGGCTCGATCCCAGGACCCCGAGATCACGACCCGAGCCGAAGGCAGAGGCCTTAACCCACTGAGCCACCCAGGCGCCCCTACATGGTAGTTTCGATGAAGTCAGATTGGCTGGATGTCAATAGTTGCTGAAACTGGATGATGGATACATGAGGTTTCATGATATTATCTGCTTTTGCATGTGTTTGAACTTCCCCATAATATAACATTTTCAAAGAGGAGGGAGGAAAATGCAAGAAAATAGATAAAATAATTGTATCGTAATAAATGTTAATAGAAAGAAAAATATGGTAATTAAATGCTCTTTCATACCTGCCTAGCCTGACACAGGTATCAGTTCAGGTTACCAGGTTGGCTACCTCCTAAACCAGCCAGAAAAAGCCCACCAAGTGGGGTCACACCCAGGTGGGTGTAGACGTATTTTCTCTGCGGAATCTCCACGGGCTGATTTAGTTTCCATCTTGGAGGGGAGGAGCCAGGATTCCAACCATTATCTGCCTAATCCAAATGCATTTGGTCACACCCTGATCTAGTCAGGGTTTCTAGACTTTAGGTGCAAAAAGAATTACCCTAAGGGCTTGTTGAATTCTGAGTCCTGCCCTCAGGGATCCAATTCTGGAGGTCTGGAGTAAAGTCTTATAATCAATCTTTCTTTCTTTCTTGTTTTCTTTCTTTCTTTTCGAAGATTTTATTTATTTATTTGACAGACAGAGATCACGAGTGGACAGGGTAGCAGGCAGAGAGAGAGGGTGGGGGAAGCAGGCTCCCTGCCGAGCAGAGAGCCAGATCCGGGGCTCGATCCCACAACCCTAAGATCATGACCTGAGCTGAAGGCAGAGGCTTAACCCACTGGGCCACCCAGGAGCCCCTACAATTTATTTTTCCAACCAGTTCTTCAGTAAACTGAAGCTGAGCGCTTGCTGATGGCACGCTGAAAGTGGTATATATTAAATTAAACTGATCTGGGCATCTTGGGTCCTGAGACGTGGGACCAGACCGAGGGACCAGACCATTTTCCTAGGGACAGAGAAAGCCCACAGTGAGACCAATGGATGCTAGTGCTGCCATACTCTAAAGGAAAATATTTATTAGCCCTGGCTCCTTTGAGTGACCTCTGAAAACATCTGTGACTTCTCTAGCCTCATCTTTCCAGTGGTTTCCAAGTGCTTGCAGCTCTGTATTCATTAGTCCACCATTTGCCTTATGGTTTTGGCTTTTGCTGCTCCTATCCTGAACAGCCAAACCCTTCTCTTTAGCCAGCTCACCAGTAAGGCAGATTTAATATTTGTGTTTAGAATTAAATCCAAGAATTTAAATCTAATCTCCCAGTGAATGACACACCCATGAGCATAAATCAGTTATGAAATACCTCTGATTCTTTTTTTCCCCCCCTCCATAGTAACATCACTCAATCCATTGCCAATATTGTTCTGGAAATGTTTAAAAAAATTTTTTTTAAGATTTTTTTTTTTTTTTTGAAAGACAGAGAGGGAACACAAGCAGGGGGAGTGGGGGGGGGAGCAGGTTTCCTGCTGAGAAGAAGCTTGATGGGGGGCTCGATCCCAGGATCCTGGGATCATGACCTGAGCCGAGCACAGACGCTTAATGATTGAGCCACCCAGACACCCCTAAAAATATTTTTTTATTCATTTGCACCATGTTACCAAGAATTCGTCATTTTCAGTTTTCTCCCAAGTCTCACCTTAAAGAAATAAAGACAAAAAATCTTTTGTTATTATTATTATTAAGTAAACTCTAAGTTCAATGTGGGCTCAAACTCACAGACTGGGAAATGAAGAGTCTTATGCTCTAGCTACAGGGCCAGCCAGGCGCCCCTAAAAATCTTTATTTTAAAATGTATTAAAATGTATTAGGAGTGATATTAATTACCCAGCATCTCGAATGTCATATAATGGACAAGACCTGGTGTAAAACCGATGACATTGTCACACCGGCAGATACTGCGGGAGGGGAAGAAGAGGAGGAAGGAAAACAGCTCTTCTGGGAAACAGGAAGTAGACAGAGACATTTGCTTATAAAAGGAGAAATCAGGCTGGAAGCCCTCAGGTGAAAAGAAGTGAAGGGCAGATGTCCCGAGATAGATAGCATTTGCCTTCCTCCGAACGTTCCCTGAAAATGGCGTACTCAGCTTACGAGAACAATGAGCAGGTAAGTTTAGTTCCAACCGAATCGATTTTCCCCATAGATTTCCCCCATAGATTCCCCATAGATGTTTCAAAGTCTTTCCAGGGTTTGCTTATGTTTCCTTTTTGCCCCAAGTCTTGGCGTCTGTCTGGGTCTAAGAAATCTCTGGTCTTGGAGTCTCTCCTCTTTACAAGTGGATTATTACTTTTCTTGCACGGAGTGTGGCTCTGAGAAAATTTGGGTGAGAGTGAGAAAGTAAAGATTGCCATTCCTAGGCCGAAGTAAGAGATCAATTCTGTAGAAAGACTTAGCTGAGCAAGAGAAAAGTGTAAAGAAGTAGAGCGCGACACTAAAAAAGACAGTGAGAAAAGGTAATGTGGGTAAGGTCAGAAAGTAAAGTGACCAGTTTGTTTTCTTTATTCTGGGACTGTCTCCTACTCGCAGATATTAAGTATGTGATGATGGTCGAGTCCTACCACTGCCCTGAGCCCCCACTTACCTCTAGAGTGGAGTAATAGTCCCCCGATAATTTTGTATGAATGTGTGCAGGAGTACTTTGAAAGAGTGTTACACAGGGGCGCCTGGCTCAGTCCGTCAGTGGAGCCTGTGTCCCTCGATCTTGGGGTTCTAAGTTCAAGCCCCACGCTGGGTGTAGAGATGACTTAAAAATCAAATCTTAAAAAAAAAAAGAAAAAGTTGTACATATGCAGGAGCAGAGTATGAGCAGTGGGAAACCATTTCGGGAGGGAAGTGGGAAGGGAATGGCCCCATCAGATCTTTTCTGAGAAGAAAGTATTGCGATAGGGCTGGAATGGAGTTTATTTACCTTCGGACTTGGGAGGAACCTTAAGCATAGTATACTCTGACATGGTTCATTTAATTTTTGAGACTCAGTTATCGAATTTGTAAAATAGGAAAATGGATAAATTGCCGTGAAGGTGATATGAAGGTTAAATGAGCGAACTACAGAAAGCTCCTAGCACAGTACTTGTGTGCTATACAAAACCAGGAGGTGTTGGTTCCTTCCTACCTACCCATTCTGTCTGTCTTTTGTTAGCTCATTAGAAGAGCTTTGACTGCCCACTTGGTGCTGGGCACTGCGTGTGCTGCTGTGATGGCAACAGAGTAAATTCACTCCCCTCTGGTCCTGGAGGTGAAATAAGGCCAGTATGGCAGGAGCTCAGAATGCTCAGGGGTCTTGAGCTGAGTGACAGGCAGAGGTCAGACTCCAGAAGTTTGTAGGTCGCACAAGGGAGTTCTGTCTTTAACCTGAATAGCAATGAGAAGCCATCGAAGCATTTTTCATTTCATTTTGTTTTGTTTTTTAAAAGCAGGAGAGCAGTCTGCAGAAGGAATGGTTTCAGAATGGAGTTTGGAATGATAGGAAATTATTGTTTCTACCAATGAGAGTTGATGAGAGCTGGGATTGGGAATCATAGGGAATCATGATAGAAGGTGGGAAGGTAGGAACACATTCCATACAGATTTAGCAGATAAAATGCAAGTATTTGTTTCAGCTGAGGGAGAGGAAGGACTTGACCCTTGACGGAGGTGGTTTCCCCAAACTTGAGACATATCCTTTCATTGACATCCACCTGTAAATCTACTTTTGTCCATTTCCTCATTGTTTCTCTACCATTTTTTATTTTTAAAAAGATTCTATTATTTATTTGAGAGAGAGTGCAAGCGAGGGAGCAGCAGAGGGAGAGGGAGAAGCCGGCTCTCTGCTGAGTGGGGAGCCTGACACGCAGCTCAGTCCCAGGACCCTGGGATCACAACAGGGGCTGAGGGCAGACACTTAACTGACTGAGCCACCCAGGCACCCGTTTTACCATTTTTAAAAATTTAAATTGTTAAAATGTCCTCTGCACCCAACGTGGGACTCAAACTCAAAACCTCCAGACCAAGAGTCAACACACCCCATGGACTGAGCTAGCCAGGAAACCCTGTTTCTATTACTTAATAAAGAGTCTGCTCTTCAACATTAAATTCAAGGAATCACTGTTGAGTCTTCTCTCCAGCCGCCTATTGGTTTCTGAGTTTCTTATTAATTGTGCTTTGAATGTAAGCAGTTTAGTTGTATGGCATCAAATGAGAATCCTCAATGGATCCTTCCCTTTCCAGAATTTCTCTGAGGAGGCAGTAGAGGAAGAAAGTGTGATTCTCACATTGGTTCCAGTGAATGAGGAGCCTAATGAAGAACATCAAATGGAACCAAGTGTTTCTTCAACTTCAGAAATCAGCCTGATGATGCCTGGGTCAAGTGATAAAGGTATGAAGTCGTGGATTGCTCAGTTTGCTGCTTCCCCAGCTCTGGGAAACTCAGGAAAATGATTTCCCTTTCTCTCTCTCTCTCTCTCTCTTTTTTTTTTTTTAAAGATTTTATTTATTTATTTGACAGACAGAGATCACAAGTAGGCAGAGAGGCAGGCTGAAAGAGAGAGAGAGAGGAAGAAGCAGGCTCCTCACTGAGCAGAGAGCATGATGCGGGGCTTGATCCCAGGACCCTGAGATCATGACCTGAGCTGAAGGCAGAGGTTTAACCCACTAAGCCACACAGGTGCCCCTGATTTCTCTTTCTTATCTCTTAACTGTACAACACCAATCTTAAATCTCACCTTGATTACTTGGGTATGAGAGTTCTCAAACTCCCACACTTTTCAGTTGCTAGGCACCATGCCTTGCTTTTAAGACACAAAAAAATAGGCATGTGGAGTGCCGTGGACAGAGTGTGGTTCTTACAGGAAAGGAAAGAAATTCATGATTCCCATCCCATGAAGCTCAATCTTGTCTTTGTTTTGGTTGACATATATTTTATATACCTTTTGTAAAGAGAAATGATTTTTTCCAGCTTTGAAATATAATCCATTGGTAACCCTATGTAATCTTAAGGTGTACAGTGTGATGATTGATACACATTTATATTGCCAAATGATTACCCAAATAAGGTTAAATAGCATATCCAGGGTACCTGGGTGGCTTAGTTGTTAAGCACCTGCCTTCGGCTCAAGTCATGATCCCAGGATCCTGGGATCGAGTCCCATGTCGGGCTCCCTGCTCAACAGGAAGCCTGCTTCTCCCCTCCCACTCCCCCTGCTTGTGTTCCATCTCTTGCTGTGTCTCTCTCTGTCAAATAAATAAAAATCTTTAAAATGAATGAATGAATGAATGAATGAGTAACATATCCATCACCTCACATAGTTCCCTCCTCCCACCACATCCTGTGGTGATTAAATATTTGCTCTCAGCAACTTTATTTTATTTTTGAGAGAGAGAGAGCATGTGCACACATGTGAGTGAGTGCATGTTGAGGGGGATGAGGGCCAGAGGGTGAGGGAGAGAATCTCTTTGTTGTTGTTTGTTTTTTAAATATTTTATTTATTTATTTGTCAGAGAGAGAGCAAGCAAGCCCAGTGCAGGGGGAGCAGCAGGCAGAGGGAGAAGCAGTTTCCCCACTGAGCAAGGACCCTGATATGGGACTTGATCTCAGGACCCTGGGATCATGACCTGAGCTGAAGGCAGACACATAACCAACTGAGCCACCCAGGTGTCCCAAGAGAGAGAATCTTAAGTAGGCTCCATGCTCAGCACAGGGCGTGATATGGGGCTCAATCTCATGACCTTGAGATCATGACCTGAAACAGAATCAAGTTTTGGTTAAGACACTTAACCTACTGAGCCACTAAGGGACACCTGCTCTCAGCAACTTTGAAACATACAGCATAATATTGTTAACAGTAGTCACTAAGCTATAAATGAGATCCCCGGAACTTATTCATATAGCTGAAAATTTGTACCCTTTGATCAATATCTCCTCAGATTAGTATTTTGCTTGGTAAATAATTATTGATCAAATATCTAGCAGCTTTTAATGTCATGACCCTTTAAATCTGTTCTTAGTATTTCACATAAGGGCATCAGATTTGTATTTTCAGAATGATTTTATTTTCTGGGCCAAGAACGAGGACTTCAACACATAGTAAACAGTGACAGGTTACACCTGAGGAGAGTGAGGTGAGGAGGGGTGCTGATGAGGAGAAGGAGGTAGGCTGATGGAATGCAGTATTGTTAGTGGCTGGGTGATTTCTGTAGGGACAACTCGTATTTTTGGTCCCAAATCTAGACATTTTGGAGTAGCAATCCAATTTAACGTTCCATGCAGGTGGCTATTGGTGGTTATAAAAAACAAGATTGAGAATTATAAAATGGAGGGGTGCCTGGATGGCTCAGTGGGTTAAGCCTCTGCCTGTGGCTCAGGTCATGATCTCAGGGTCCTGGGATCCAGCCCCACATCAGGCTCTCTGCTCAGCAGGGAACCTGCTTCCCCCTCTCTCTCTGCCTACCTCTGCCTACTTGTGACCTCTCTCTCTCACTCTCACTCTCTTGCTATTAAATAAATTAAAAAATGTTAAAAAAAAAAAAAGAATCATAAAATGGAGGTTGGATTTCCAGGTCTGCCATTTTAATGGAGATGTGATCTTGGGTAAGTCATTTAATTACAGAATCTGTTACTTGTAGTAGAAGAAAAATATTTGATGTGTGTGTGTATAAATGGGGTTGTAAGAAATTAGCAAGAACTTTGTTAAATTGTCATCTTAAAAATTAAATTATCACTACTTTGATTTTCTTCTTTTCTCAGTTTGTCATCCTCAGATAAATGAGCAATTCAAGTTTTGTCCAAAACACAGTTGTAATATGCAAGTCCTTTCCTTACCAACCAGTTTGCCTTCATTTAATAAAGTACGTTGGGACACCTTGCGGAACTGGTGCCAACAACTGAATTTGAGTACCGATGGCCGGGTGAGTGCACTGGTGGGAAACTGCTGCACAGAGCAAGTGTGGAAAGCTTTGCCAGTTTGTAATTTTCATTTCCCCTTTTAATGTCCTTAGAAAATAGAGGTTTATATGAGGCTCCAGAAACATGCTTACCCGGAAATAAACCAGGTGAGTGAGGAGTGTGGTGAGAATGGAAAGGTGAGTTCTGATTGTGAATTGTTCCTTCTATTCCACCATTTCTATAAATGTTGTATCTCTGAGGCAAGATTTCTCAACCAGGGCTGTTGACATTTTAGATAAAGAAGATGTTGTATATATAATACAAAGGAATATTATTCAGCCATAAAAAGAAAAAAATCTTTGCCATTTATGACAATATGGATCGACCTACAGGGTATTCAGATAAGTCAGACAGAGAGACAAATATATGATTTCACTTATATGTGGAATCTAAAAACAAACAAAACAGAAGCGAAGTCACAGAAACAGGGAATGATCTGGAGGTTGCCTGATGGAGAGGTTTGGGGGGATGGACAGAATAAGGGATAGGAATTAAAAGATACTAACTTCCAGTTATAAAGTAGATAAGACATTGGGGATGCAGTGTACAGCATAGGGAATATAGTCAGTCATATTATAACAACTTTGTATGGTGACAGATGGTAGCTAGACTTACAGTGATCACTTGGTAATGTATATAAATGTTGAATCAGTATGTTTTACACCCAAAACTAATAAAATACTGTATGTGAACTATACTTCAATTAAAAAAAAAGACTATGGATGTTTTGGGCCAAATACCTTGTTTTGGTTGGGGTGGGGGAGTTGTCTCATGCATTTTAGGCCTAAACATCCCTGGCCTCTACTCACTAAAATGTCAGTGGCAATGTCTTTTGCTTTCCCCACTCCCATACCCCCAGTTTTAACAATTAGAAATTTCTCTTAGTTGCTCGAAGGGAACTAATAATCTTAAGTATTTCCTACACTTAACACATATGGGTCAATGTATAAAAAATGATAAAATTGACACAAAACACAAAAAAGTCTTCAGGGCAGTAGCACTTCTCTGAAACCTCACCATGAATCCCATTTGCAGAATATTCCTGAAACATCACCAGAAGCTAAATTGCAGTCATGTTCAAGGAAAGGCAAGATGGTGGCCAAGAAGGCAAGGCTTTGGAAAAGTTGTAAGAAGAGTGAGAGAGAGGAGGGGATTAATACAGTCGAGGTGGTAACATCAGCACAGGAAGGCATGTTGGCAGCATGGTCAAGAATTGCTGCGAGAGCCAGTCAGTCCAAGTCTGTGAATTCACGTTCCATTCCTGCTTCTGTTGAGACCTTTCTGCTGCAAGCCTCTGGTAAGATCACCTTAAAAGAGTGAGCACTGGGTGGGGCTGGCTGGCTCAGTCCGTAGAGCATGCAAACTCTAGATCTCATGGATCATGAGCTCAAGCCCCACATTGGATACGGAGCCTACTTTAGAAAAAAAGACTGAAGAGTATTCCAGAGAAAGAAGTCCTCCACTGAAAGGCATTAAAAGGGAAAGAGCTAAAATACTGTAGATTGGATAGGAGATTTACATAGGAATTATCCTTTCATTGACAGGTAGTCGAGTTTTGCATGGACCAATGTCTAAGCTAGGTGATTGAGTGGTGACCCTTTTTCATCATAGCAAAAATTCAAGGTGGGAAGAAAGCATAATCTGATAATGTGGTCAACCACAGTTTGAGGCCTTCCCTTTTCTCTCCCTCCTTCAAGGCTGTTGTAACACTCAATAAGCATGTGGGTGTGAGAACTGAACAACTTCCGTTCAAATCCTTACTTCCTAGGTCTCTGGCATTGGCGCTTTAGCTTAAGCCCTGGTATCCTGATTTACACAGTGATGGTGGCAACTATTGTGCTTCATAGAATGATTTTGAGACTTAGAAGATACAATTTGGCACTTTAAAAGCCCTCATAAGGGATCTGGGGAGTAACTTAGCTCCACTTTGGGCCAGCTCTGGCTCCTGAATGTCATATTTCTGTTTTCATCTCCTGTAGACACCATCTCAGGCCAGCACAAGGTCCCCTTCCTTCTCTTTGGCTTGAATTCTTTCCTGCTCTTCACCCCATTACCAGAAGTGATCCGATTTTTTTATATGCAGGGCTGATGTTCACTCACAAGAAATCCAGCCAGAGGGAAGATAGGGAGTGGAAATGGGCCTGCTGTCTGCTCCCCACGCTGCACCCCCTTCTGTGAGAGCAGTGGGCACCTCTTGCTTATTTGCACATCACTGTGCAGTCCCGGAGCTGTTTCTGGAGGACCAAGGTCCCAGAGAAGACCGCTCTTTCTGATTTTCGTTAATGTGCCGAATGAGCTAGTAGCATCCCACACATGCTAAATCAGCCTTTTAGTTCCTCTTCATTCATCAGTTATTAAACACCTACTGTGATCCATGAGTGTGCCTAGCCTCCAGCTGCACTATGCTAAACACACAGTTTCTCCTCCTGTCTTAGAACGGAGAGAGATTTTACAGCTATGTAAGCCCCCAGTGACTGTTCCTTTCTCTCAGTTTCATACGTTTGATATCTGTAGGACTTTGCTTTCTCTCAAATATCCCATCTTCCCAATTAGATTGTTCCTTAGGCTTTTATTTATTTATTTATTTTTAAGATTTTATTTGAGAGAGTGAGAGTGTTGCACGCACACAGACTCAGAAGCAAGGTGGGAATTGGGAAGGAGGGAGAAGGGGCAGAGGGAGAGAGAGAAGCAGACTCCCTGCTGAGCAGATAGAGGGCGCCATCCCAGGACCCTGTGATCAAGACCTGAGCCGAAGTCAGAGGCCTAACCAACTGAGCCACTCGGGCACCCTGTTCCTTAGACTCAGTTAAACTGAGATCCTTTTGCCTGTTTGTGTAGTTGAGGCAATGTAATGTAATGGTTGGGCAAATGGGCTATGAATCAGAATATCTTATCCATGTCTTGGTCTGGGAAAGTTATGATATTTAACATAAGCTACGCTACCTGACTTGCAAATAAAAGTAAAAGGTAAATATTAATAATGCTCTTAAGAATAAATGTATTCATCCATGTAAACCACTTAGCAAAATCTTAGAGACAGAGCAACAATTCCCAAAATTGTTACCTCTTGCACTATGTAATTTGTGAAGTCAGATTGTAGTATCTTTGGTGTACATTTTTCTTACTTTTCGTTCAGTTGATTGATCAAGAGAATATAAGAGTAGAACTGAGAGTGACTTGCTGAGAGGTTGGGTTAGGGCGCTCTCACTTGATTTTTGCTGTTTGTGTCTGCTTCCCTTTCTCTCTTCAGGTGTCCGGTGGTGTGTGGTCCATGGCAGACCTCTCTTGGCAGACACACAAGGTTGGGTTCGCCTGCAATTTCATGCAGGTCAGGCCTGGGTGCCTGACACTCCCAAAAGGATGATCTCTCTCTTCCTGTTACCCGCCTGCACTTTCCCACCCCCAGGCCTAGAAGACAACATGTTATGCCCTGAATGTGTGAAGAGGTAACCCTTAAGTATTTTTCTAAGTGTGGCACACAGCAAAGGAGATGTCTGGATAGGTTTCTGAAAAATTTAGTAGGAGAATGCAGAAGGCAGTGTGCTGTTTTCTTAATTTGCCATATAGATCAGGCAGAAATAGGAAGCAGAAAACTTAGTGGTGGATTAGAACTCAGATAAATGTGGCTTCTTAGAAACTTTAACAAAGTATCCAAGTTAGGACCTTAACTGCCTCCATTTTAGAGACATGTTTTAAGGGAAAATAAATAAATAAATAAAAGACTTGGAGTTCAAATACAAGATTCTTTCCTGGGGATACACAAATTAGAAAGATAAAATCCATGTAGCACTCGAGAACGAAAAGGAGTGGGAGATGTTGTGAAAATGTAGGGGTAGTACCTGCATTGGGGTAGCTTAGAGAAACTTCCCAAAGGATTAATGTACTGAGAGAAGGTTTACCATTTGGAAGGTAATTAGGGTGGCCTAATTAGTGGAAACAGCCCATACAAATGCATGGAAGTCAAAGAATATGACATACTTAGAAATTGCAAATAGGTCAATATATCTGAAGCTTATACTGACAAATAAGTGGGAAAAGGGAGGAGCAGACCAAGTTTTATATCTATATAAAAGTTCTTTTTTTCCCACAAGTTTTCTATCTATATAAAAGTTCTCTCTCTCTCTCTTTAAAAAAAAAAAAAAAAAGATTCATTTGTCAGAGCACAAGCAGGGAGAATGGAGGGAGAAGGAGAAACAGGCTCCCTCCTGAACAAGGACCCCTGTGCAGGATTGGATTCCATGACCCTGAGATCATGATCTGAGCTGAAGGTAGACGCTTAACCGACTAAGCCACCCAGGCGTCCCTAAAAGGTCTCATATCCTGTGGCACTTAATTTCTTAGTCACTTAGGGAAATGGACTCCTTTGAGAATATAACTGTATACTCACCATCCAGGGAGATTTACACTGAGCATACACATAAGCTCTGCTTCAGATTTTATATAGACCATAGCACTCCTGATGTTTGAATACAAAATTCAGCTTTTGACAATGGAATTGGGTGGAGGTAATATGAGAGTGGAGGAAACCTAAGGCTCTTTTAAATGAAGTGGATTGAAATCTTGCAACAGAAACTAAATTTGAAGGTAAGAGATTATTATAATAATTCTGGAAAGATGCAATCTGTGAGCTTGGCAAAGAATTTAAAGAGGAATGGAACAAATTTAAGGGATGTAGGAGTACAGGGAACAGTTGTTAACTTATTAGATGGAAAGGTAGAGTGCAGTTCAGTGGCCAGGAATGTGATACATGCTGGCCAGGAGTCTAGAATTCTGGGAGAAGTATAGGGTGTAGAGAAGCACAGTTGGGAATCTTTATCCTATAAATTGTCCATAGGATTATGTAGAGGAAAGAACCTAAGAGAGAATCAGCATATCAGTGTCAGGTGAGAAATGGAGACTGAAAACGTACAGGTAGAGGCTGAAATAGAAGTGGAAAAGGAAGCAGTGGGCAGAGTTTCAGAGGGAAGTGGTTGGCAGTGAGATGGCCGTGTAAGACTATGGTTAATACAGTGCTGTTAGGAATGTCAGTTTAGGACACCATTGGTGGTCTTTTGGAGAGTATGTTGAGAGGGGCAGTAGAAACAGAGTAGGGTAGGTTTTTTTGTTTTGTTTTTTTAAAGATCTTATTTATTTGACAGATCACAGGTAGGCAGAGAGGCAGGCGGGGTGGGGTGGGGTCAGGCACCCTGCTGAGCAGAGCTGATGTAGGGTTCCATACCAGGCCCCAGGATCATGACCCGAGCCAAAGGCAGAGGTTTTAACCCACTGAGTCACCCAGGTGCCCCTTGTGTTTTTTTTTTTTTTTTTTTTTTTTAATATTTATTAGACAGCGAGAGGGAACACAAGCAGGGAATGGGAGAGGGAGAAGCAGGCTTTCCGCTGAGCAGGGAGTCCAATGCAGGGCTTCATCCCAGAACCCTGGGATCATGACCTGAGCCAAAGGCAGACGCTTAATGACTGAGCCACCCAGGCGCCCCAGAATAGGGTTGTTTTAAGTTGGAGTAGAACATGTGAAAAACTAGGAGCAGAACATACTTAATAATCTGTTCTGCATGAGTGAAGAATGAGATAGTAGTTGAGGCAGAAATATTAAGGGAGCTTTTTGCTTCCGTCCGTCCTCCTTTTCTCCCTTCCTTGCTTTTTTCTTTCCTTGTTTCTTTCTAGTGATAAATGGGAAAACCATGATTGAGTACGAAGAGAGAAGGGATGTGGGAAGAAGCTGCAGGAGGAAAAGGGAAAGTGTAAATATAAAGGAAGTGGCGCTGGGGTGCCTGGTTGGTTCAGTTGGTAGAGTGTGCTGCTCTTGATCTTGGAGGTCATGAGTTTCAACCCTGTGTTGGGTGTAGAGATTACTTACAAATGAGTGAACAAATGTTGAAAATAAGTAAAGGAAGTGGAACCGATTGGAGAAAAAGAAGAAGAGCCTGATACTAAGTGCAATCCAGTTCCCTTTCTTTACCACATAAAGTATTTTAACCCACTGTTCTTAGGTGGTGAGGCAAGCTACTAAGGAACTCCAGAAGTGGATTCCACATTTATTGTACTTGGTATGGGATGGTCCGTCTTATTCTTAAGAGTTTTTCCAAAATTCTTTACTAAATTTCTTTACAGAAATAAGAAGATGATGAAAAGATTAATTGCACTGGGGAAGGAAAAGCGACCTCGTTTGAATAGACCAACATCATTCCCTTTGGATGGGCCATATCTTAATAAAGAATAAGTGGTGGAGAGCCCACAGCTACCATTGACTTGCCTCCCAGTGACTGTTTGCTGTGCTCTGTCCTAGCCGGCCTTAGTGTTTGTTGCTTGATAGGTTGAGTACAGATGGGACTGTACGGATTCTATACTTGACATCTGACAAGAAGTGACTGCTACTGCTGCTTTGAGCATTTGGTTCTATAGAATATAAATCAGTTCTGCTTTAATTAATAATTTTTTTAAAGTTTTAGGTTTTCAGAAAAATTGAGCAGAAAGCACAGAGCTCTGAAATACTGCTCCAGCCCTTTCCCCTACTGTTAGCAGCCTGCACCAGAGTGGTACAGTTGTTAAACCTACATTGACGATCGTTACCACCCAAAGCCCATAGTTCACAACAGGTTCACTTTTTGTGTCATGTAGTCTAGGGCCTTGACAAGTAGATCATGACTGCCTACATCCTCACCATCACAGTGTCATCAGAATAGCTTCCCTGCTCTAAAATTTTCACATTCCATCTGTTCAACATGCTCGTAGCTCCTGATCACTCTGTAGCTTTGCCTTTTCTAGAATGTCATATATTTGGAATCATATGGTAGCCCTTTCAGACTAATTTCACAGCAATATGTATTTAAGATTCCACCTATTCATGGCTTAGTATTCCACTTCTTAGTGCTAAATAGCCCATTGCCGCATGTTCCTCAGTTTATTCATTCACATATTAAGTCATCCAGGCTGCTTTCATCTTCTAGCAATTATGAGTAAAGCTGCCGTAAACACCTGTGTGTAGGTTGTCTCAGCATACATTTCAGCTTAGGTAACTACCAGGGATCATGATTGCTGGATCATGGGGTAAAAGTGTTCAGTTTTAGAAGAAACTGGAGATGTGTCTCCCAGAGGGGCTGGTATTTTGCATTCCCACCAGCAATGATTGAGGGTTCTTGTTGCTCCAGTTCCTTACCAGCATTTGGTGGTGTCAGTGCTCTAGATCTTGGCTGTCCTAATGGGTGTGTGGAAACATCTCTTCTTAATTTACGGTTCCCCAGTAACCTGAAATGTGTCGTATATCATATGCTTATTTGTCATCTGTATATCTGGTAAAGTAGCCAGGTTTTTTGCCTATTTTTTCATCTGGTTCACTTTCTTATTGTTGGGTTATTTTATATTTTGAGTGAATATATTTATTGGATAAGTCTTAAGATATTTTTCCTAGTCTGTGGCTTGTCTTACTCTCTTGATCAATTTGTATATTTAGATCACTGACACTGATATAAATGGCTTAATATCTGTATTTGCTTTCAATGCCCTTTTTTGTGTATTACAAGTTTTTAATCAACAAGCTCTTAAGGCTATATGGCTACTGTTAAAATCTTTTTAAAAATTGAAGTATGGTTGATAGAATACTACATTAATTTCAGGTGTACAACATAGTAATTTGACATTACATACGTTAGAAAATGCTCACTAGGATAAGTTACAAAATGCTCATTTGTCACCATTCAGGGTTATTTTAATATTACTGATTATATTACCTAGGCTGTACTTCTTTTTCCTATGACTTATTATTTTTTTTAGTAACTGAAAGTTTATACCTCTTTTTTAAAGATTTTTTTTCTTATTTGACAGAAATCACAAGTAGGCAGAGAGGCAGACAGAGGAGGAAAGAGGCTCCCTGCTAAGGCTCTGTGGGGCTTGATCCCAGGACCCTGAGATCATGACCTGAGCTGAAGGCAGAGGCTTAACCCACTGAGCCACCCAGGTGCCCTGAAAGTTTGTACCTCTTAATATCCCCAAATCCTTTCATTTTGCCCATCCTCCTACCCCCTTCCCTCTGGCAAACACCAGTTCTCTGTTTTTTGTTTTGTTTTGTTTTGTTTTAGATTCTGTATGTAAGGGAAATTATATGGTAGTTGTCCTCTGTTACTTAACACAATACCTTGTAGGTCCATACATCTTGCAATGGCTAGATATTTTTTATGGCTGAGTAATACTTCATTGTATATATACACATGACATCTTTATCCATTCATCTATCAGTGGACACTTGGGCTGCTTCCATATCTTGGCTGTTGTACAATGAACATAAGGCTGGATGTATCTTTTTGAATTATTGCTTCCATTTTCTCTGGATAAGTACCCAGAAGTGTAATTGCCAGATTATATGGTAGTTCTGTTTTTAGTTTTTTTTGTGGAAGCTTCCTACTGTTTTCCACAGCAGCTGCAACAATTTACATTCCTAGCAACTTACTAAATAAGCCAAAATCCAAAACACTATATAATCCAATATACCTTCAACAAAATACAAACTGAATTCAATAGCATATTAAAAGGATTATATACCACAACCAAGTGGGATTTATCCCTGCATTTAAGGGTGGTTTGACTTAAGAAAAATCAATGTAATATGCCTATTAATAGAATGAAGAAGAAAAATACCTCAAAAAAGGCATTTATCAAAAGCCAAAACCCCTTTGTGATGAAAACATTAAGCAAGGAATAGAAGGGCACTTCCTCAACATTATAGGCGCCATATAGGAAAAGCCTACAACCAAATGTACTCTGTGGTAAAAGGCAGAAAGTTTTTCTAAAGTTAGGAGAAAGATGAGAATGCTTGTTGTCACCCCCTCGATTCAATATAGTACTGGGATTTCTAGCCAGAGAAAATTAGACAAGAGAAAAAGTCCTCTACATTGGAAAGGCAGAAGTAAAGCTACACACAGGTTATTCAGAAAAATCATTCCTCAAAAACCTGTTAAAGCTAATTAACAAATAGAGCAAATTTTTCAGAATATAAAATCATCACAAAATATCGGTTGTATTTTTTAAACATTTTATTTTATAATACAGAGTGAGAAGGAGCAGAGGGAGAGGAAGAGAAAATTCCATGCAGATTCCAACCAGAGCACAGAGTCCGAGGTGAGGCTTGATCCCAGGACCCTGAGATCATGACCTTCATTGAAATCAAGAACAGACGCTTACCCGACAGAGCCACCCAGGTGCCCCAATACCAGTTGTATTTCTTATCTATTAGCAGTGATGACCTGAAGAGGAAATTAAAATGATTCTCTTAACAGTAGTATCAAAAATAATATAAAGTAGGGGCACCTGGGTGGCTCAGTGGGTTAAGGCCTCTGCCTTCGGCTCAGGTCATGATCTCAGGGTCCTGGGATCGAGCCCCACATCGGGCTCTCTGCTCAGCGGGGAGCCTGCTTCTCCCTCTCTGCCTGTCTCTCTGCCTACTTGTGATCTCTGTCAAATAAATAAAGTATTTAAAAAAATAGTATAAAGTAAGGGATAAACTTGAGGTATAGAACTTGTACACCAAAGACTACAGAGCATTGCTGAAAACTACTTTTCCCTCTTGGCTCATTAGTGTGGTAAAGTATACTGACCTATTTCAAATATAGGAACACACTTGTACTTTTTATGTTGCTGCTTACAGTGATGCATTTTATTATTACATTTTACATATTTGAAAAATTTTGTTCCAAAGTTGAAAGAATATAATCCACTATTTGTTAATATTTTGCCACATTTGATGAAACTTTCCATTTGTTTTCGACTGATTATCCTGCCCAATAGAGTAAACAGAGATTCTTTGCACCTCCATACTTCAGCATGCATCTAAAAATAAGGACTTTTTTAATAGAATCACAATATCATTATCAAACCTAAGAAACAGTCATTGCATAATAATATATAATATCTAGTTCATACTCAAATATGCTTAATTGTCCCAAAAATACCTTTTGTACTTTCTTTTAAAGCTCTAAGATTCAATCGCATTTCAGACATTCTATTTGATTATAATTTCTATTTCATTTTAATCAAGAAAGATCTCTCTTTTTAATGATACTTTTTGAAGAGAAAAGGTCCGTTTTCTTGTACAGTGTACCACATTCTGGATTGTTTCCTCATGGTGTTCTTTGACTAATTCTTTTTATTTCCTGTAAGGTCAAAATTAAAGCCAGAGGTTTGATTAGATTAAGATAGAACACTTTTTTTTAAAGATTTTATTTATTTATTTGACAGAGAGAGATCACAAGTAGAGAGGCAGGCAGAGAGAGAAAGAGGGAAGCAGGTCCCTGCTGAGCAGAGAGCCCAATGTGGGACTCGATCCCAGGACCCTGAGATCATGATCTGAGTGGAAGGCAGAGGCTTAACCCACTGAGCCACCCAGGCACCCCAAGATAGAACACTTTTGCCAGGAATACCCCATGCCCAAGATCTAGGACTTCATACTGCATTGCATAGGAAGGTACATAATTCAGATTATTTCATCATTATACTAAAAATGTTACCACCTTATTAAAGGGATGACTGCTAGATTTCTCTAAGGTCTATTGGCAGTTTTTGCTTTGGGATTTGTAACTATTCTATAGGGTGGTACCTTGACACAATGTGACTATCTTAGCCTTTCTTGGCAACTTTTCACCCAGTGAATTTTAGCATCCAGTTGTCATTGCTGGCCCTTTCCCTGCGTCTGTGCTGACCTCGGTTCTTGAGTTAAGCCAAGAAAGAATTTAGAGCCAACCCCTCAAGAAATTAAGAATTTAATAGCAGTTAAGGGGCACCTGCTTACCTCTCTCTCTCTGCCTGCCTCTTTGCCTACTTGCGATCTCTCTCTGTCAAATAAATAAATAAAATCTTAAAAATTTAATAGCAGTTGAAAGCACACTCTCAAGAGAGGAGAGCAGGCTGGCCCAGAGGTGACAACTGCACCAGGGTTGGGGTGCCTTTTCTTTTTATGTTTGCAGAGGTTGTAGGTCATAGCTACAGCAGTCACTGACTGAGGTCCCTTCCGGTTATCTAAGCGACTTCTCGCCTGGTGGGGAGGGTTTTTTTGGTCCTATATGGCCCTTGTCCGAACTGGTGTCCCCCTCAGGGTGTGTGGAAACCACAGTGTAAATGTACTATAATGAAGCTGTAGGTTACTATAGGGCAGCATTCATAGGGAAGGACATTTGCCTACTCCGCAGTACTTTTTCTAGATGGTTGTGTACTAGGGAATGGTTGGCAGTTTCT